GCGATTGTAAGCCGCTTGGAGACTCCTTCCGAGAGTGAAGGGCGGGGTATCCCCCCCATCCCCTCCTCCCCCTCCTCCCAGGGGAATTGATCTCCGCAGCCTGGAGATGGGTTGCCAATTCAGTGTTCCCTCTAAGCTGAGTGAGTGTGAGCCGGCTCACAGCTTTTTAGCCTCCGGCTCACACATTTGGCTTCCAGCTCGGGAAGGAGGGGGCTCCAGAAGAGCAAACTAATTGATGCAGCAGCCCAATCACCTGCTCACCACTTGAATGCCAGCAGCTCACAAAGGAGGATTTTTGCCCACAAGACTCCACAGCTTAGAGGGAAGCATTGCCCCCCCCAACCCCCGGTCGTGGGTGGCTTGGCATTTTTGGCTGCCCCGACTGTGCCGCCGCCGCCGCCACGACTTCCCCGGCATCTCCAGCAGGGGGAAGGTGCGGCCTCCCTCTCCCCACGCCCAGCGTTCCCTCTAAGCTGAGTTACTGTGAGCTAGCTCACAGTTTTTTAGCCTCTGCCTTCGCTATGGAAGGATGGGGCTCCAGAGCAAACTAATTGATGCAGTGGCCAAGTTCCTCGCTCACAGCTTTATTGCCAGTAGCTCACAAAGTAGAATTTTTGCTCACAAAACTCCACAGCTTAGAGGGAGCATTGTCCACCACTCTCTGGGGTCTGTCCCCCCCACACACACACTGTGGAGCCCCTCTTTCCAGCCAGAAGGAACCCCCTGGGGTTGAAGTTTCCTGTTTTCATAGACTGGAAACTGCGTGTGCTTTCCCTTCTCCAACTGTCTCCTAGGCTGAAGAATCGGTCCACGGTGCCTTCCCAGGGATGCCGGACACCTGTGAGCATCCGATGCGGGCCGGCGGGCCGGTGACTTTGAACGTAGGCGGGAAATTCTACAGCACAACTTTTGAGACCCTGACGCGCTTCCCAGACTCCATGCTGGGCGCCATGTTCCGCGGGCCCCGCCCGGCCCTTACCGACAGCAACGGCAACTACTTCATCGACCGCGACGGCAAGACCTTCCGCCACATCCTCAACTTCCTCCGCTTTGGCCGGCTGGACCTGCCGGAGGGCTACGCGGAGCTCTCCCTCTTGCGCGTGGAGGCCGACTTCTATCAGATCCGCCCGCTTCTGGAGGAGCTGCGCCGTGTGGAGGCCGAGCGCCGCCGCCAGCGGGCCAATGCGGTGCTTCACGCCGATGTGGACTTCCGTGAGCGGCTGCTGCACTTCAACGTGCGCTGCGGACCGCAGAATTACGAACTCTGCACGTGCTCCCTTCACATCTTCACGGCCAACGTCTTCTGCACCGACCCGTATTTCCTTGCCGTGTTACGAAGACGGTTGGGCCAACTGGATCGCACCAATGGAGAGCTCGAAGAAGGACATTCGGGGAGGTGGGCTGACCAGTCCACAGAACCGGAGCGCTTCCTCGGCCAGTTGGGTGACTCCGACGCTACCGTGAGAGAAACTCGAAATGATTTGAACTGGGACTCCATCAATGCCAATAGAGAATCGAGAAGCTGGAAAACGCCAGGGGAGGACTTCAGGACAAAGGGCAAGTTGAGAATTTGCCCGTACGATTCCGCTGACGAAGATGCAGAAACGGCTGACGAGGCCTGGGACGACTCCTTCGGACTGTCCCACACGGGGACCAAAGCTCGCCATCACCTCTGCCTGGAGTGGGCCCCCCGCCCGCCAGAGCTTCCAGCCGCAGAGTACACGAAGCAGAAATTGTGTCCGCTGCAGGTGGGTGGGAGGGAGGTCCGAACTGCCAATGAATTCCTTGAAGAGGTGCTGAAGGCGGCGCTGGCACAGGGCTTCCACGTGGACTCGGTCTTTCCCGACCCGGCAGATATTCTCAGTGCCCATTCCTTGCGATTTGTCCGGCACTGAATGTTTCAGCCGACACCTGGGGAGGCGGAGCACCGGGCAGTGGTCAGCCCCACCTGGAATGGAAATGGGATGGTAAGAATAGTGGGGGCGGGGAGTACGTGATGGATTGGGGGGGGGGGCGGGACTTGCTTTAAGGCAAGTTCCTCAACAGCCTCAAATAGCTTGGGGGTTCTTTTCTGAAAGCCAAAACGGCCTTCCTCCGTGCCCAGAAGTAGAGACTCATTAAGAGGATCACACAGCAAAGATAGTGAAGATTACTCCCCTCTTGGAGCAAATGTTGCACTTGAAATATACTAGGGACCAAAAAGGGGAGGAAACTTAACCCTGAAACATGGGATCCAGAACCTAAAAAGGTAAGTCAAACAGAATCGAGGGCCAACAATTAAAATCTTAATGTATATAGTATAAAAAGATACATGTATTTATTATAACTGCTCTTTGCTTAAGGGACAGTTTTACTGAGGACACTTTTGGCTAAACAATCATTGGAAGGCACTTTCTGGACCAGAAATTATTATCAGTGAAACATCATTGGGCATGCGATCGCCTCTTCGGAGGCCTCATTTATACTTGTATTCTGTGCCTAGTGGTTTCACTTTGGAACAATTCTTTTCTGGTCCATCTTGCATCTATGTTGCGTAATTGTATGATTGTACTGTATTATGATATAAGCCAATGTGCTCTTCATTGTGTTTGACCTCTGAAGAAGGTCTATACAGGCCGAAATGCATCCCGTCAAGTCCATTGGCCCTTGTGTGTATTAGATTTTGGTATTTTTACATGAGTTGTGATTGGGCCCTTGTATGTTTGTTAATTCTTTGTTAATAAATACATGTATCTTTTTATACTATGTACATCAAATTTTTATTGTTGGCCCTCTATTCTGTTTAACTTACCCTTTTTAGATTCTGGAGCACTTGAAATATATCTGCTGATTTGTTCCCCAGACGGATGAATTTATCCTGCCTGTGCAGTTTCTTACCGTGCGGAGGAGTGTCAGAATTCTTTCCATTGACATAATCAAAACATGCAGTGATTATGCAGTGATGTAGGTTATGCTCAAGGCTGGGAAACGATTTCTAATTCCTGGGCCTCTTGGAATTTCCATCCCTCTGACTTATGGGAGAAACTGAGGCTGAGAGAGAGGGAGGGGAGGTTTTGGGTTTCGTGGGCCTAGAACCCAAGATCAAACCAAAGGCTCTCAGTTGGGTTGCCTTCCTAGGGTCTGCTTTTAGGGGAGAGGCCATGGCTCAGTGGCAGAGCCTCTGCTTGGCATGCAGAAGGGTCCCAGGTTCAATCCCCGGCATCTCCAGTAAGGACCAGGCAGAAGGTGATGGGAAAGACCTCTGCCTGAGACCCTGGAGAGCCGCTGCCAGTCTGAGTAGACAATACTCTGATGGCCCGAGGGGCTGATTCAGTAGAAGGCAGCTTCATGTGTTAATTTTAACCTCATTTGGACCTCTGTTGTAGAGAAAAGGGAGTAACCGTGTTGGAACTGGAAGAGGTCATACATTCCACTTGGGACTGTTTGGGTGCTTACTTTTAAAAACAAGCAATGCTGGGGCCCGGACACACCCGGTGGTTATACCCCTGAAAGCCCTGCCTCCCAGATCAGTTTGGATAGCCACTCGGTATCCACGGGTGAGGAACAAAAACATTGTCCGCACGCAGGGGCATCCTGTTATTACGCCACCTTCCCCAGTGTGTTCAGAAACAGGTTTCTGGGACTGACTCTCAGCTCCAGCAGAGAAGTGTGGCTAGGATTTGGGTGTCGCCTGTCACACGGCCCGACCGGCCTGAAAAACCTGGGGGAGCAGTCTGTCTCGCTTTCCCCTCCTGGAACTTGAAGAGGGCCGCAGCGTGGAGAGCTGGGTGCGGAATGCCTTGAACGGAAAAATTCAGATCGCGTCGTGGTCCCTCGTGTTGGGAGACGGTCTGTTTCCCTGGCCGAGCAACTGCTTGGGGTTGTGCGATTCACAGGATGCTGATGCGTCTCCAGTCACTCCCTGGCAAAGAATCATAGAATGATAGAGTTGGAATGGGCCAGACAGACCATCTAGTCCAACCCCCTGCGCCCAATGCAGGACCAGCCTTAAAGCATTTCTGACAAATATTCGTCCAACCTCCTCTTGAAAGCTGTCGGTGAAGGCAGCTGATTCCACCTCTGAACTGTGAAAAAGTGTTTCCTAATTTCCAGCCGATACCTTTCTGCATGTAATTGAAACCTGTTGCTTTGGGTCCTCTCCTCTGCTTCCGAGTCTACTGGAACATCTCCTTGCCCTCCTCCAAATGACAGCCTTTCAAGTATTTAAAGAGAGCAATCATGCCCCCCCCTCAATCTCCTCTTAGGTCTAGATAGGAACTCTCGGGCCTGGGGCGAGTGATGCTCTGTCTTCTTGGTGCTTGGGGGGAACAACAGTGGGAGGGCTCCTAGTGTCCTCCTGGCCCCACTGCTGGACCTCCTGATGGCACCTGGTATTTCTGGCCACTGTGTGACACAGAGCATTGGACTGGATGGGCCATTGGCTTGATCCAACATTGGCTTCTCTTGTGTTCTCTGGGGTGGGTGGGGAGTGGTACGCTGGGCAGGGTGGGCCTCCGCGTCCTTCTCCCCAACAAACAAGGCTTTGTCCTTGCGGGAGGGGTGTGTGTCTGTCGACCAGAATGCCAGCCTTTGTTCTGGGGCTTCGCAGTGTATCGTGGCTCTGACTGTCTCCTACCCGGTTTCTCTTCCAGAACCAGCCGGGCCCTTGGGTTTGGAGGTGCAGCAGCTGGGCTCCCGCTCTGGGTTCTCCCACCAGCCCACCTCGTCTCCCGCTGTGGCGGGAAGGACCCAGGATCCCGGCAATGAAGACCCCCGATGAAGGGCGATGGAGCGGACAGCGTTGGGATCCGGGCAGTGGTTTGGGGCCTGGGGAGAACCCCCCTTATGTCTGTGGGCAGGTACTGAGGGGCTTTAATAGGCCTGCTCTAAAGTAAGTTTCCTGTAAGCAGGTTCAGAGGGTAGCCGCGTAATTCTGCAGTGGAAGAGCTCAGTTCGAGTCCAGCAGAACCCTAGAGACTGAAACAGTTTGGTGTAGTGGTTAAGTGCGCGGACTCTAATCTGGGAGAGCTGGGTTTGATTCCCCACTCCTCCACTTGCACCTGGCTGGATGACCTTGGGCAAGCCAGAGTTCTGATAAGAGCTGTCCTTGAAAAAGAGCAGTTTCTGTCAAGAGCTCTCTCAGCCCCACCCACCTCCCAGGGTGTCTGTTGTGGGGAGGGGAAGGGAAAGGAGTTTGTAAGCCGCTCTGAGACTCATTTGGGTAGTGAAGGGCAGGGTATAAATTCAATATCTCTTCTTCTTCTTTCTTCTTCTTTCTTCTTCTTTCTTCTTCTATCTTCTTCTATCTTCTTCTTCCTTCTTCTTCTTCCTTCTTCTTCTTTCTTCTTCTTTTTCTTCATCTGACGAAGGGCACTTTGACTCTCAAAAGGTCGTACCCAGAAAGCCTTTGTTGGTCTCTAAGGAGCTTCCAGGCTCGAATCCGGCTTTTCTGTCCTGTAGGCTGCATCCTAAACACCAGTTTAACCCTTCTGTGCTTTGAAACAAAGCGATCCTAAGCACTGCGGTGCTGAAAGATCTGATGGGAATCACAAAGCGTCTCTGTGCTCTGCGCACAATTGCCGTTTTCTGGATTCCTTCCCAGCGGGGGGGGGGGGGGCGGGTGGCGCGACTGGGCCCTGGCCGGGGTTTTGCTTTTAGTCAAAGCCGGCTGCTGCTCTCCCCGCCCCCTTTCCCGTGCGTCTAGCTCGGTGGGGAGGGTGGCGGCTCCCCTTTGGAGGGGGGGAGTGCCGTGCCGAGCGTCTTCTCCTCTTCTCGGCAGACACTGTGCGTCCTTAGCAACCGCAAACCGCTTTGGCCACGCTAAACGTGTCGGTCTGGAAAGTGCCTGCAGGCTCCCTCTGCCGCCACAGGCGGGGGGTGGTGGCTTCTCTTCTGGGGGCTCCAGGCAGCCATTCGACAGGTAGATTTCCCAAATCAAGCCAGGTTGTGGTGGTTTTGGACGCTGGAATGATGCTGGCCTTGCCGTTGAGAGCGCTTAAACACAGCAAGGGAGCAAAGATGAGCCTCCGAACAAGACCTCTGGGCATCACTTGATCTTGTTGCAATTTTGCTGTTACTTGCATGCTTTGTCCCAGCAGTGACAGGTAAAGCTGAAAAGGGATGCTCTCTGGTGGGAAAAGGGCTCTCCTCCTGCCGAATTGGGCGGAGCCTGTTAGAAGAAGAGAAGAGATTGGATTTATACCCTGCCCTTCACTACCCAAAGGAGTCTCAGAGCGGCTTACAAACTCCTTTCCCTTCCCCTCCCCACAACAGACACCCTGTGAGGGAGGTGAGGCTGAGAGAGCTCTTGACAGAAACTGCTCTTTTTCAAGGACAGCTCTGACAGAACTACGGCTTGCCCAAGGTCATCCAGCAGGTGCAAGTGGAGGAGTGGGGAATCAAACCCGGTTCTCCCAGATTAGAGTCCGCGCACTTAACCACTACATCCCTTGTGCTGCACCCCCACCTGAGCCGGGCCTGGCCTCTTACTTCCATGGGGTCAGAAGGAGGGGACTTTTCCTGTGTTTGGGAGGGCTGGTCCGGTGTCCTGATTTGCCACTGCCCTTCTGAGGAGGGCTGTGAGGGGAAAGGTGATGCCCAATAAAACCTGTTTTCGCACATACTTTGCTTCTCATGTCGGGTTTGTTTAAGGGAGCAGAAGAGACACTCTGGCTTGCTGTGTCTTGTGTAAGCTGAATTGGAAGGGGGGGATGTATTGGGGGGGCAGGCGGGTGTCCTGGCATGCAGCCTTTCAACTGTGAGCCAGAAGCGAAGACTGTTAACACCATCCAACCCAGTAAACACGGCAACAGTGGGTAACGCACAGAACAGTGGGTAACGCACAGAAGACGCCCCAATCCATTTGTGAGTTTTCACTTATTGCGGGCGGGTCCAAGAACCGGGCAGAAGCAGCTTAATGGAACATTTTATATTCTCAGTAAACACCTCTCTTGCGTTGCCAAGGTCTCCTTTGGAAGGTACGCCCTGTAAAAGTTAAGCCATTCAGACGAATTTCCTGTTCCTGGTTAGAATTCCTGCGGGGGGGGGGCGGGTCATGCCGCTCTGGAGCCAGCAGCACTAGCAGGCATCTGTCTGTGGCTTAGAACGTTCTTCTGCTCTCCTGGGGAGCATCGAACTGCGTGCACCGGGTAACCAGATACCCCCTTTCGGTCAGGGCTCGCTGAAGGTATTGTGTTGCGCAGGGTTCACACATTTCCCCCTCGTGCACCGGCTGGTCTCTGGCTGGCGAGAGGGTGGGGGCAGAGGAGGGGATGATGCGCCTTCCTCCACCTTGGGGTGGGAGAGAGCTGAGCCCCCACCCCCTATAGATGAGCCCTCGCGCTGCGTTGGCACCTCTCTCAGCAGGCACACCCCAGACACTCACTTGGGAGACTCTGTGAGATCCAGCCCTGCATTAGAGAACTCTTGCCTCTAGTGTCGTAAGAGTCTCTCTTGGGTCCAGTTGGTCTGAAGTAGTATTTATTTATTTTTTTATACTTTTGATTTATATTCCGCCCTCCCTGCACGGGCAGGCTCAGGGCGGCTTACCACAAGTTAAAATATAACAGAATGAATACAATAAAACATAATGCATCGACAGAGCAATAATCTAAAATTCAGACAAGCAATCAAATTTGTAAATAAAGTGCTGTTGCATATAGATGGCGACAACCTCTCCATGGCTGTGTTAGAGAGTAGAGAGTGCACTGTGGCCATACCTGTGTCATTAGCTGTTCTTGTTGCTCTCCACACGAGGGCCTTAACTGTTCAGTTGTTAGCCGTTCTGACGTGGTCCACGTATTGGTGCTAGTGGCAGCTCCTAATCGAAGGCCCGGTGGAAGAGCTCCGATTTGCAGGCCCTGTGGAACTGTAGGAGGTCCCGCAGGGCCCTGATGTCTTCCCTGAGCTCGTTCCACCAGTATGGAGCCGCCACTGAGAAGGCCCTGGCCCTGGTCGAGGCCAGTCTGGCGTCAGGCGGTTTTGCAACCCTGATCTCCGTGCTCTCTGGGGGACATATGGGGAAAGGCGGTCCCTCAGGTAGGCAGGCCCCCGACCATATAGTAGAACAAATTTGGAGTCCAGTCAGGCACCTTTAAGGCCAACAAAGGTTTATTTAAGGTAGGAGCTTTCGTGTGCAAAGCACACTTTTTCAAATACAGTGGAATGCCAGGTAAGGTTCAGACTTACAGACGGGCTGAACAGCAAATTAACATGAATTGTTGTCTGGATTGTTTGGCCGACAGGCACTGCTCCCACCCCCAAAGAGGAAGTAAAAATGCTGTTAAGTGAACCTCCAAGCTCTGAGAGTGAATGGAGAGTCTCAAACTTATTTCAACATATTTATTGCTTTACAACGGTTGACCTTATAGCCTTAGCTTGTTATTTTAGATCTGTTTTTGCATAGCTTAAAACATCGTCATTGTGTTACGTTAATTTGCTGTTCAGTTTGAACCTTACCTCCCATTCCACTGCATTTGAAAAAGTGTGCTTTGCACATGAAAGCTCCTACCTTGAATACACCTTTGTTGGTCTTAAAGGTGCCCGACTGGACTCTTAAGTCTCTTTTGGAGATCTCCTTGCCGACCTGCCAGCTGGCCAGCAGAGGGCACTCTCTCTAGAGCACAAAGGCAGCCAGAGACCTGCGCATGAACGCAAGAATCACAGACTTTCCTGCTCCCCAGCTCAGTGACCTTTGAGCACCAATGCACTGCTCTCACTTCACATCCTTTGTGGAAACACACACCGGGTGCATTTGTGTCCCTCGCATCCAAGGTTGTATGGTATACATGTGATGCCACTAGACAGGTTGCCAACTCCAGCTTGGGAAATTTCCTGAAATCTGGGGAGGGCAAGGTATGGAGGAAGAGGAGGAGGAAGAAGAGTTGGTTTTATACCCTGCTCTTCATTACCCAAAAGGAGTCTCAGAGCAGCTTACAATCACCTTCCCTTCCTCTCCCCAAAACAGACACCCTGTGAGGTCGGTGGGGCCGAGAGAGCTCTGAGAGAACTTGTGACTGACCCAAAGTCACTCCAGCAGGCTTCTTGCGGAGGAGGAGCGGGGAATCAAACCCAGTTCTCCCAGATTAGAGTCCGCCACTCTTAACCACTACACCGAGCTGGAACCTCGGGGGGGTATAACGCCATAGAGTCCACTCGGGGGAACTGACCCTGATCGTCTGGAGATCTCCCGGAGATCCCCAAGCCTTGCCTGGAGGTTATCAAAAACAAATTAATTGCATTCGCAGTGCTCATTTGTTTTTGGAACTGGCCACACTGTGTTTTCCCCTTGTTTCGTCTTCTCAACTGGAGGTTGGCAGCGCTTTCCCCAGTTGGAACGAATGTTTCAGAGGGTAACTGTATTGGTCTCCCTTTGCCAGACCCTGCTGGTCTCTAGGGGCTCCCGGACTCAGATTGGGCAAAACTGACGTGTGGCCCTCCCTCTCTCCCTCCCTCCTGTCAGGCGGGCTTGAGCCAGGGTGTGGTGTGCAGCGGCAGAGCAGGGAGGCTCCAAGGCTTCTCTGGGGCACATGCTCCTTGGCCCTGCGTGGGCTGGTTGTGTTTGCTGAGAGGTGAGTAGGGGACGCCTCATGCTGATGCTCAGAGGCACTGTCTTCAGGGTGCTTCTCCGGCCCTTGGAAGCTGCATGAACCTTGGCACTGAAGCCGCGTTCCCAGCCTATGCTGTGGTTTGTGTACGAGGAGGCTTCTGTCTCTGTGTGATCTATGCGCTGGCACAGACTCGCCATGTTTATCACAATCACGTGCTCCCCTCTCATGTACGAAGAAAACACCCTGACCTTTGGCAGCAGCCAGCGCCTCCCTCCCTCCCTGTGGCCGCTGTCTGTGTGGGCGGAGGTTGGATTCCAGAACAGGCTTTAAAGGAGCAGCCGGCAGTCTGACTAAGCTTCAGGCCCTGTTTGCGTTCCCAGGCCTTGGAAACTTATTTATTTGACTTACTAGGAAAAAGGCCCGTTGTGGAAATAAATACAACGGCCTCTAGAAAGAGGCTCTGGGCGGGTGCCCAGGCATTGG